ACACCTGCCGGCAAGACGGTGAGAGGCTGTTCATGGTGGGGGGAGCCGGGCAGTGGGACCACCCAGGGGATAAGACGCTTCGTGGCTCATCCCCACTTTGGCCGTAGCTGAATGTGGCGGTGAAATGCCTCAAGACGGACGTGCTGAGCCAGCCGGAGGCACTGGACGACTTCATCCGGGAGGTGAATGCCATGCACTCCTTGGACCACAGGAACCTCATCCGCCTCTATGGCGTGGTGCTCTCCCACCCTATGAAGATGGTGAGTTGGCGGGGACAGGGCCCACCCCGATGCCACCCTACAGGAGGGTCCCGCGTGATGGGGTGATCAAAGCCAGGCTGGTTTCATACCCCCCAGTGGTGCACAAGAAAGCTGGAAACCAGTCCAACCAGGGTGGCCCTGGCCTGACTGACCTGCTGTCCCCTTCCCATGGCCCAGGTGACAGAGCTGGCCCCACTGGGCTCCCTCCTGGACCGGCTGCGAAAGAACCAGGGCCATTTCCTCATCTCCACCCTCTGCCAGTACGCTATCCAGGTGGCCAAGGGCATGGCCTACCTGGAGTCCAAGCGCTTCATCCACCGCGACCTGGCTGCCCGCAACATCCTGCTGGCCTCCAATGAGCTGGTCAAGATCGGGGACTTTGGACTGATGCGGGCCCTACCCAAAAATGACGACCATTATGTGATGCAGGAGCATCGCAAGGTCCCCTTTGCCTGGTGAGCCCTGGGGAAGGGGGTGACCTGAGGGTGCAGCATCCACAGCCTCCTGGTGCTCACGTCCTTCCCCGCACAGGTGTGCTCCCGAGAGCCTGAAGACACGCACCTTTTCCCATGCCAGTGACACCTGGATGTTCGGGGTGACCCTCTGGGAGATGTTCACCTACGGGCAGGAGCCTTGGATTGGCCTCAATGGCAGCCAGGTGGGTGCACAGCAGAGAGTTGCCCGAGCAGTGCTGGGGGGACCTGGGACCCCCTGACGGCACTCCCTGCCCCGCAGATCCTGCACAAGATAGACAAGGAGGGCGAGCGGCTGCCGCGGCCCGAGGACTGTCCCCAGGACGTCTACACTGTCATGCTGCAGTGCTGGGCGCACAAGCCTGAGGACCGACCCACCTTCGTGGCCTTGCGGGACTTCTTGGTGGAGGTGGGTGAGCAGAGAGGGGGACGGGGGCCCAGCACCCCCAGCTGCTGGCTCTGCTCGAGCATGGGCAGAGTTAAGGGTATCGCCAAGGCGGGAGGTGACGTTGAGGGGCTCGGGCCAGGCAGCCCTGCAGGCTGGGAGGCAGCAGGTGGTGACATGGTCACAGCAGGAGGACCCCAAATACCACCTTGCCCTCGCCCACCCCAGGGATGTCACAGCTGGGAGTGGTGATGCTGTCTCTTGCCCATTTTGGGGGCTCCACTGTGTGGGGCTGGGCCTGGCCTCAAAATGGCGCAGGGATGGACTTGGGGGGCTGTGTCCCCTGTCCTCACACCCCTGTCCGTCCCCCCCAGGCCCAGCCCACCGACATGAGGGCGCTGCAGGACTTCGAGGAGCCCGACAAGCTGCACATCCAGATGAATGACATCATCACGGTCATCGAGGGCAGGTACTGCACGGGAGTGGTGGCAGGTATTGCATGGGGGGGACGGGGACACGGACCAGCTGCCACCTTGTGCGGTCCCCCAGGCAGCACAGGGCCACCCTGGTGCAGGGTGGGGGTCACACCCGCACCCCTGCCCGCCCCTTCCCCCCCAATCCCCGCTGACTCAGCCCGCGGTGCCCGTGGGTTTGCCCCAGCCTTGCCCTGGGAAACCACGCACCGCAGTGCCGCTCCCTGCTGATAGCAGTGGGGACGTGCCACCAGCACCCGGGGACGTGCTGTTGTCACCGGGCTGCCAGGAGAGGCATGGTACCGCGGTGGCGTGACCTGTCACCCCCTATGCCGTGGGCTTCGCTCCTCAGTCCCTGTCGGCCACCCCGCCATCCGCCTCCGCCACCTTGGGGGTCTGCT